TCAGACTGGTCTCCAACTCCTGGGCTCAAGCAATCCTCCCACCTCGGCCTCTCAAAGTGTTGGGATTACAGGCGTGAGCCACTGCACCCGGCCACTCTCCCACTTTTAAAAGAGCCTGCATTTAAGCGGCCATTGACTTCCCTGCATGGGTGTGTTGGCTGTTTCCTCTAACCGGAGCTACCCTGCAGGGAAGGACAGGATGTCACTGTGACGACTTGGGAGGGAGAGGAGCGAGCTGGCAACCATGTGTTTCAAACTGATACGTAACTACCAGTCCTTATGGCTCACCCTATTAAGGACCAGCTGCTAAACTCTCAACCCAGTTTTTTATTTTTATTTTTTAGAGATGGGGCTTTGCTACGTTGCTCAGGCTGGCCTCGAACTCCTTGGGCTGAAGTGATCCCCTCACCTCCACCTCCTGAATAGCTGGGACTAGCATCTGGCTTCTTAGCCCAATTTCAATTAAAGTTGTGTATATTATTTTTTAGGGCTGTATATTTAAATTACCACAAAATCAGTGGTTTACAACAACACAAATTAATTATCTTACAGTTCTGCAGATCAGAATTCCAACCCAGGTCTCACTGGGCTCAAACCAAGCTGTCAGCTGGCCCTTCCTGGAGGCACTGAGGGAGCCAGGTCCCCTGCCTGCTGCAGCTCCTGGGGGCCACCCACTTTCCCTGGCTCATGGCCCTGCCTCCACCCACAAAGCCACCAACCCCGGCTGAGCCCTCCTCATGTGGCCACCCCTCTCTGGTTCTCCTCTTCCACCTCCCTCTTTCCCTGTTTCACTGCGTAATTACTCTTGTGATTACACAGCCTGGGCAACCTGGTGAAACTCCGTCTCTACAAGAAATACAAAAAGTAGCTGGGCATGGCAGCATACACCTACAGTCTAGCTGCTCAGGAGGCTGAGGCAGGAGGACTGCTTGAGCCCAGGAGGTCAAGGCTGCAGTGAGCTGTAACCGCACCACTGCACTCCAGCCTGGGCAATGGAGTGAGACCCTGTCTCAAAAAAAAAAAAAAAAAATTCTTGTGATTACATCAGCTCCTGCAGATAATCTAGGATGATCTTCCTGTCTTAAAGGCAGGTGATTAGCAACCTCAATGCCACCTGCAACCATGATTCTCCTGCACCACATGACAGAACAGATTCACAGCTTCCTGGATGAGCACACGGACATCTCAGGGGAGCCATGATGCTGCCTGGCACACTACATATGCAAATAACAATTCTACCTTCCTCAACACCTTCCATTTGCCACTAATTGAGACCATCTCATTTAAAAGTCCAGTGTTGGTAAAACTACTTTTCATTGCTTGTTTTCTCATTTAAATCTCACCACCACACAAGGAGGTATATTTCTACTAGTCCCATTTTATTACATGAGGAAATCAAGGCTCCAATACATCACTTTTTTTTAAGTCTCGCTGTGTCGCCCAGGCTGAAGTGCAGTGACATGATCTCTGTTCACTGCAACCTCTGCCTCCTGTGTTCAAGTGATTCTCCTGCCTCAACCTCCCAAGTAGTTGGAACTACAGGCATGTACCACCATTCCTGGCTAATTTTTGTATTTTTAATAGAGAATGGGATTTTGCTATGTTGGCCAGGCTGGTCTCGAACTCCTGACCTCAGGTGATCCACCCACCTCAGCCTCCCAAAGTGCTGGGATTACAGGCGTGAGCCACCACGCCCGGCCATAAGTCACTTTTGTTTCAGTGTTTCTTTTATCTATTAACATTCTTATCATAGAAATTGTTAAATATATACAAAAATAGAGAGACTGCCGGGCGCGGTGGCTCAAGCCTGTAATCCCAGCACTTTGGGAGGCCGAGGCGGGTGGATCACGAGGTCAAGAGATCGAGACCATCCTGGTCAACACGATGAAACTCCGTCTCTACTAAAAATACAAAAAATTAGCTGGGCATGGTGATGCGTGCCTGTAATCCCAGCTACTCAGGAGGCTAAGGCAGGAGAATTGCCTGAACCCAGGAGGCGGAGGTTGCAGTGAGTCGAGATCACGCCATTGCACTCCAGCCTGGGTAACAAGAGTGAAACTCTGCCTAAAAAAAAAAAAAAAAAAAAAAATAGAGAGACTAGTACAATGAACCACCGTATAGCTGCCATCCGGCTTCACAGATTGGCAGTCCACCTTCTGGCATTCTGATTCATGTAATTCCTGCCCCACTGTTTTCTGCTTGCTTGTTTTGCTGGCGTATGTTAAAGCAAATCTCAGACATGAGCATTTACTTTTCCATACACTCAGCACACACTGATGAAGTAACTATGCATCCAACACTGCTGGGTGCCAGGAGATCACCAGGTGCCGTGTGCCCAGAGCTGGTGGCAGGACATCGACTCCTCCTTCTACATGGGCAGGTGGCTTCCTGGGTCATCCTGCATAAAGCTCACCCTTGGGGTGGCCACCCTGGGGGCCAAAGGACCCTCCATAGCACTGTCCCATTCATAGACCCCAGCTTGGCACCCAGCTAGAGAAGCCAGACTCCCTGCCCCGCCCGCTCACTGGCATCCAGGAGATCACCTGCCCTGCTCTCCCCTCCAGACCCCGCCAGGCACCCCAACCTCCCCACCCAGGATAGGGCAGGGTGCAGAAAATAATCACAAGATGCAATGCTGACTTTCGAAGAGCTTGGAATCAAAAGTGGTGGTTCTCAAAGTATAGCCTGGCCTGGCGGGAGGTCCCTGAATGGCCAAGAATGGGTCTCAGTGTCCCTAGTACAATGTCAAAGCATATCTGACATGGACTGACTGTGTCCCTCCAAAATTCATATGTGGACATCCTAACCCCAAAGGTGATGGTAGTAAGATGTGGGGCCTCTGGGAGGTGATTAGGTCATGAGGGTAGAGCCTTTGTGAATGGGATCAGTGCCCTATAAGATAGGCCCCTGGGAGCCCATTCACCACACCCACCATGTAAAGACACGGGGAGAAGACAGATGGCTATCAATCAGAACCCGACTGTGATGGCACCCTGATCTCCCAGCCTCCAGAACTGTGCACTGTGAAGAATAAATGTCTGTTTTTCTTAGGCCACCTAGTTCATAGTACTTTCTTTTTTTTTTTTTTTTTGAGATGGAGTCTTGCTCTGTTGCCCAGGCTGGTGTGCAGCAGTGCGATCTCAGCTCACTGCAACCTCCACTTCTCAGGTTTAAGCAATTCCCCCACCTCCGGCTCCTGGGTAGCTGGAATTACAGGCACGTACCACCATGCCCAGCTAGTTTTTGTATTTTTAGTAGAGACAGGGTTTTACGTTGTCAGCCAGGCTGGTCTCAAACTCCTGATCTCAGGTAATTCTCCCACCTCGGCCTCCCAAAGTGATGGGATTACAGATGTGAGCCACTGTGCCCAGCCCGTAGTACTTTCTTATAGCAGCCTGAATGGAATAAGACAGCATCCTACCTCCGTAAAGCAGATATGCGGTCATTTATCCAGTTCCCCTCTGATTCTTCTTTGACACGACTTCAGTTTTCCACAGGAGAGTGGGGGTGTTTAGGTGGTAGACTGCTTGACCTTTTCAAATTAAGTGATCCCTCTTCAAAATGTATGGCTCATTGTAGCTAATGCCCCAAGTTCATGAATTGTTGACTTTCGCAGTAAATCAGCACAGATCCAAGGAATCCCTGCAGGAACGCCGCCCTCCCCCACACTGTCATGTGATTCCTGAGTGGGAAAGAAGTGACAGGTAGCATGAATGGCCCAGAACCCAGCGCCCAACTGCCCAGGGCACAGCCCTTAGCCTGGGCACAGCGACAATAAACTACCTAGTGGTTATGGGAAAAAACACTAAGACCCATTGATCCTGGGGAGGGGACAGACAGGAAAATGATTTGCTCAATGCCAGAAAAGAGTATTGTAAAAAGAGCCAGGCATAGTGGCTCACACCTGTAATCCCAGAACTTTGGGAGGCTGAAGAACAAGGATTGCTTGAGGCCAGGAGTTCAAGACCAGCCTGGGTAACATAGTGAGACTTCATCTCTACAAAAAAAAAAAAAAAAAAAAAAGTTTTTTTTTTTAAATTAGCTGCATGTGGTGGCTTACTCCTACAGTCCCAGCTACTCAGGAGGCTGAGGTGAGAGGATTGCTTGAGCCCTGGAGGTCAAGGCTGCAGTGAGCCATGATCGCAACACTGCACTCCAGCCCGGGCAACAGAGCTGAGACCCTGTCTCAAAAAAAAAGAGAGAGAGCGCTGTGCAGTCTGTCAGACTGAGCACAATCCCACCCGGAGATCACCAGGAAAATTAGAAAGTATTTTAAATGGAATACTAAACCCTTATCGTATCAAAACTTGTATTTGCAGGGATGCAACCAAAGCAGTGCTCAGAGGGAAATTTCTAGCCTGAAATGCTTGCATGAACCCAGGAGTTCAAGACCAGCCTGAGCTGGAGAAGGGAGAAAAAACTGGAAAGAAATGCACTAAGATCTATCTCAAGAAATTACAATAGAAACAGCAAAATAAATCTAAAGCAAGCAGGACTAGAAATCAGAAAACAAACTTAATGAACTAAGATACAGAGACCATCAACAAAACCTAAAGTTGGTTCCTTGAAAAGGCTGCAAAACTAATACATTTCTGGTGAGAATGATTGAGAAGAAAAGGGATGGCAATTACTACCATCCTGCAGGCAAACTGCGATGCTGCCTCTTGCGAGCAGCATGTCTTTGGGCAATGCTCTCCAAGCCTCTTTCATCATATTAAAATTGAGAAATAGAATATCTGCCTCACTGGCTATTATAAGAATTAAATGAGATAGTGTGAGTGTCCAGCAGAGAATAGAAACTACATAAATCATACAAGTTATGATCATGGTGGTGGTAGTTATCAATATTCTAAAGTACTACAGGGGGCTGGGCATGGTGACTCGCTCCTGTAATCCCAGCACTTTGGGAGGCCGAGGCAGGTAGATCACCTGAGGTCAGAAGTTTGAGACCAGCCTGGTCCACATGGTGAAATCCCATCTCTACTAAAAATACAAAAATCGTGCTTGCCTCAGCAGCACATATACTAAAATTGGAACGATACAGAGAAGATTAGCATGGCCCCTGCGCAAGGACGACTTCTTTTAATTTTTTTAAATAAAATAAATTTAAAAAAGAAAACAAAAATTAGCCAAGTGTGGTGGTGCGTGCCTGCAGTCCCAGCTACTTGGGAGGCTGAGGCACAAGAATAATTGCTTGAACCTGGGAGGCGGAGGTTGCAGTGAGCCTCAATCAGGCCACTGTGCTCCACCCTGGGTGACAGAGCGAGATTCCACCTCGAAAAAATAAATAAATAAATAAAAATAAAGTGTTACGGGGAACAGGGAGGATGACTTCCTGCCTGGGGAGGTGGCAGGGATAGGTGATTTCTCAGCTTTGAAAAATGGAGAGGACTTCATAGAAGAAGAGAAAGAAGGACCATCCAGGCTGAAAGCCTAATGAGCAGGAGCAGGAGCCCTGGAGGCCTGAGTTCATCCAGAGGGGAGCAGGGGCCAGCAATGAGTGCCAAGGCCCTCCTGGGCCTCTCCAAGGCGGTGTCTGACATTTGAGGCCAACGCTGAAAACATAAATGGGCCCGGCCCGTGGCCTTCATGCATTATGCAGTGAGGGTGAATAATGCATGACTTGGAAATTTTTTAACCATTTGGTCACAGATTTCTCTCCAGGGTGATGGAAATACAATGGCCATGCCCAGCCTGTCTGTAAAGTTCAGAGAATGATTTAGTTCTAATAACCACCAGGCTCCCAGCGAAGTTATTTTCTGCTGGAAGCAAGTGAATAAGTCTTCACCAGACCAAGTCAGCTTCCCCCAGTAGGAAGAGGTTCTCTCAGGACTGTTTATTTTCTCAAAGGCCTCTGTCTACATGACAGGGACACACTCAGGGAAAGAGCTCTCGGTGCGTCTGGAGCCAGGTGTGTTCAGCTGTAAGCCTCAGCTGAGACCAGGGGCCCCTCCTCTGGGGGAGGGAGCCATCGGGTGGCAGCCTCTGCGGAGCCTGAGAGCTCCGTCACTCCACAGGAAGGTCATTGCTGGGGCCGCTCTCTCAGGGAAGTGGCTCTGGGTGGAAGCTTCCAGAGAAAGTGGCTCTAGAGCTGGATTACACAGAAGAAACCTCTAATCCCCAAAAATGAGGGGTGCGGAGGCCCCCAGCATGTCATGATAATAAAGACTTCAGAAAAGGTTTGCATCAGAATATGTAACTGGCAGAGTAACCTAGGACCTTGTGCTCCTCTACAAATACAGGCAATCTGGCCGGGCGCTGTGGCTCATGCCTGTAATCCCAGCATTTTGGGAGGCTGAGGTAGGCAGATCACCTAAGGTTGGGAGTTTGTGTCCAGCCTGACTAACATGGAGAAACCTCGTCTCTACTGAAAATACAAAATTAGCCAGGCATGGTGGCACGTGCCTGTACTTCTAGCTACTTGGGAGGCTAAAGCAGGAGAATCGCTTGAACCCAGGAGGCAGAGGTTGCGGTGAGCCAAGATCACACCATTGCACTCCAGCCTGGTCAACAAGAGCAAAACTCTGTCTCAAAAAAAAAAAAAAAAAAATGTACAGGCAATTCCTGGCTTATGATAGTTCAACCCAGGATTTTTGACACTATGATAGTGCGAACATGATATATATTCAATAGAAACTGTACTTCCCTCACAGTGCTGGACAGCGGCAGAGAGATCAGTTCCCACTCCCCCACGCTGCCAATTTACAATGGGTTTATTGGAATGTAACCCTATTGCAAGTCAAGAAGCTTCTGTAGTTACGAGGCAAATAGCACACACCCCAGCAACTGCATTCTTGTGTGAACATAAGCTCGCAAAAGAATCTATACACTAGTCCCCACAGCAGTTTCACTGTATAGCAGGCAAACCCCAGTAGCACTCAAATGTCCTTTCAAGGGTGAATGCCAGGCCGGCGGAGGCACGAGAATCACTTGAACCTGGGAGTTGGAGGTTACAGTGAGCTGAGATCATGCCTGTGTACTCTAGCCTGGGCGACAGAGTGAGAATCTGTCTCGGAAAAACAAAAACGAACAAACAAAGAGGGTGAATGCCCAACACCCTGCGGCACATCCAAACGCAGAAACACCACTGAGTAGCGAAAATAACAAATCATTGGTACACAGTGTCTAGTCTGTTCCAGCTGCTGTAACAAAATACCTTCGACTGTATCATTTCTAGAGTAAAAACTTATGGCTCGCAGCTCTGGAGGCTGGGAAGTCCAAGATCAAGGCGCCAGCAGATTCGGTGTCTGGTGAGTGCTCTCTGATTCACAGACAGCAGTTGGGTGCCGGGTCCTCGAATGGTGAAAGGGGCAGCCGCACTCCCTTTCCCTGTCTTATAAAGGCATTAATTCCATTCATGCAGTTGGAGCCCTCATGACTTAATCACTTCCCAAAGGTCCCACCTCTTAAAACTATTATATTGGGTATGAGGTTCCAACACCTGAATTTAGGAGGGCACCAACATTCAAACCACAGCACACAGCAACCTGGATGACTCTCCAGAGAACTATGCTGACTGCAAAAAGCCAATCCCCAAAGGTTCCAGTTACTTGATTCCCTTTACAGACCATTCTTGTGGTGACAAAGGTATCAGGATAGAGAACAGACTGGTGGTTGCCAGAGGCTGGGTAGATGATTGCGTTAGAAACTAATAGGAGGGATGGCTAGGCATGGTAGCTCACGCCTGTAATCCCAGCACTTTGGGAGGCTGAGACAGGTGGATTACCTGAGGTCAGGAGTTCAAGACCAGCCTGGCCAAGATGGACAGAAACTCTGTCTCTGCTAAAAATGCAAAAATTAGCTAGGCATGGTGGCGTGTGCCTGTAGTCCCAGCTACTTGAGAGGCTAAGGCAGGAGAATTGCCTGAACCTGGACGGCGGAGGTGGCAGTGAGCTGAAATGGTGCTGTTGCACTCCAGCCTGGGGAACAGAATCAAAGAAGGAAGGGATGGGGAGGGAAGGGAATCCCTGTGGCATTGGAACTGTGGTGGGGGGTGGGGCCACAAACATGAGCAGGTGATAACAGTGCATGAACTAGAGGAGCATGCACAGGAATGGATGCAAAGAAGGCCAGCGAGAGCTGAGGGTACTGGATCAATGTCAGTACAGTTACTGTGACGTTACCCTATAGGTCCACAAGATGTCCACCTATGGGAGGATGCGGGACAACGTGCACTGGATCTCTCTGTGTGACTCCGTACAACTGCATGGGAATCTATCATTATCTCAAAATAAAAGTTCTAACTTAAAAATAGTAATGATTTAATGTTAAGTGAAAAAGGCAGACCTCAAAACTTTATGTGATGGTCGGTACTATTTTGTTTTATTTATTTTAAGGCAAAGTCTCGCTCTGTCGCCTAGGCTGGAGTACAACGGTGCAATGTCGGCTCACTGCAGCCTTCACCTCCCAGGTTGAAGTGATTCTCCTACCTCAGCCTCCCAGGTAGCTGGGATTGCAGGCGCCCAACACCACACCCAGCTAAGTTTTGTATTTTTAGTAAAGACGGAGTTTCACTGTGTTGGTCAGGCTGGTCTCAAACTCTTGACCTCAGGTGATCCACCTGCCTCAGCCTCCCAAAGTGCTGGGATTACAGGCCTAAGCCACTGCACCTGGCCCAATCAGTACTATTTTAAAGACCTCAAAATTTACACCTAATATCTACCAAACTGAAACAACTGCCTACCCTATGATCCAGCGATTCCATTCCTAAATATACCCGCAAGAGAAACAGGTGCCTATGACCACCAGAAAATGTGTACAAGAAAGTTAGTGGCAGTTTCATTCCTAACAGCCACAGTAGGCAACAATCCAAATGTCCATCAACAGTGGAATTAATAGATTGGGTTTCATTCATACAGTGGAATCCTTAACACGTCAATTATAAAGAAACAAACGTGTGCTGTACACGACCTTCAGGAATCTTCCTGACCAACATGAAGCAAAAGAAACCAGATGCAAAATGTAAAATGGTGCAACCACTGTGGGAAACAGTACGGTGGTTCCTTTAAACAATTAGAAGTAGAATTACCATGTGATGAGGAGGTCCACTTCTGGGCATATATCCAAAAGGACTGAACACAGGGTCTTGAAGAGATATTTGTGCACGCATGTTCACGGCAGCATTACTCACAGTGTCTAAAACTTGGGCAGAAGCTACCCCCCAGTGTCCATTGACTGATGAATGCATGAGCAGCACGCACGATATCCATAATGGAATAGTATTCAGCCTAAAAAAGGAAAGAAATTCGGACATGCTACAATATGGATGAACTTTGAAGACATCATGCTAAGTGAAATAAGCTAGACACCAAAAGACAAGTGCTGTATGAACCCGCCCATAGGAGGTACCTAGAATTGTCAAATTCATAGGAACAAAGGCGAGCGGTGGCTCACGCCTGTAATCCCACCACTTTGGGAGGCTGAGGTAGGTGGATCACTTGAGGTCACATGTTTGAGACCAGCTCGGTCAACATGGTGAAACCCTGTCTCTACTAAAAAATATCAAAAGAAAAGATTAGCTGGGCGTGGTGGTGCGTGCCTGTAATCCCAGCTACTCAGGGGGCTGAGGCAGAAGGATCATTTGAACCTGGGAGGCAGAGGTTGCGGTAAGCCAAGATCGCGCCACTGTACTCCCACCTGGGGGACATAGTGAGACACCATCTCAAAAACCAAAATAAAATTTTTTTTTTAATTATATGAACAGAAAGTAGAATGGTGGTTACCGGGCCTGTGGGGAGGAGGGAATAGAGAGTGTTTAATGAGAATGGAGCTTAGTTTTACCAGATGAAAAGAGATCTAGAGATGGATGGCAGTGATGATTACACCACATTATGAATGTGTTTAATAACGTTGAATCGTACACTTAAAAGTGGTTAAGATGATCAATTTTATGTGTATTTTAACACAATTTTTAAAATGAAAAAAAAAGAAAAAAAAACAGCCAGACACAAAGACCACATACAACATGGTTCCTGTATATGAGGTTTAAGAACAGACCAAACTATTCTGTGGAACAGAGTGAGAATCCGGGTTTGCTGAAGAGAGTGTGAGGCTGGGCAGGGCCTGCGGTGCCCCTGGGCACTGGCACTGCCCTCTATCCTAACAGAGG